TTAATTAAATAAAAAGTTTCAATTCAGTGGAGATCATTTCAAATTAAATAAAAGTATCTCAAGTCTAATAGAATAAGGTGGCAGAAAAATAAAAGAAAGCCTTCATTTGTATGGGAAGTTATCCAGGCTATTATTTCCATCATTCTGTTTTCTTATTCTTTGCAAAAATAAATATAGAGAAACATTGTTCGTAGTAACTACTCTGAAGAATTATCTTTTCAAGATTCAGAACTGCAGTGAAACTGCTATGAGTGGATGGACAGGCTTATGGCAGATGCATTTCTGCTAATCAAGGGCTCTATAGCATGTATACTGACAGAAAGGAAACTTCTGTGGCATCAGGAGCAAACAAGCTATAATGGTTGATCCAAAAAAGATGGATCTTTCACTCCTATAATGCATTTCATACCCAAAGTAGATGGCCACTTTTAATTACTTACAGAGATTTATCTAATAAAAGATTAAAATTACCCTGATTAAAAATACTCAAGCATGATACCAGGAGGAGACGCCATATCCATCAGCAGTCACCCAGCCCTAGAAAACCATCCACCTGTCTTCTGTCTCTACAGACTGGCCTATTCTATGATTCCATTAATAGAATCATATAATGTAAGGTCTTTTGTGGTTATGGCAATGGTTACACTGCTCTGAAAAATACACTAAAAGCCACTGAATTGTGCACTTTAAAAGGCAAACTTTATGGCATTTAAATTATCTCAATAAAGTAGTATTTTAAAAATCAAGAGTCTATAGAGAAACATAATGGACAATTTTGACAAAAGTGAAACTGTTGCAAATTAAAAGAAGAGGAAAAGCTGCTTGGCCTGGGGAGAGCATTGCTTTCTCCCTGCCCTTAACCCCGGTCTGTCCTATCAAAACTGCACTCATCGAGTCCCCAGGAAAAGCCTAACCTCACCACAGGAAACATTACTGTGGACTGAACAAAGTAAAAGGCGAGAACGGGGGACTTTCAGACTTGGAGGCCTTAGCAGGAGAGTTAAATAAACCTGCACTTGGGCAAACAACCCTTTCCCCGCGCTGCCTGCTGGATGCTTCAGGGACCAGTCTGTCTTCCTCGCTGCACAAACTTTCCAACAGTTGGAGTATGAAAACACGAGGTTTAAAGAATAGAGAGAGATAATTAAACCCATTGCTTGCTTTGACTCCTCACCATAAAATCCACAGTAATCAGATGATCTGCAACTCAAAATAAGGATTATTTGATGACCCTAGCCGGTTGGGCTCAGAATGTGACCATATTTGGAGACAGAGTCTGTACAGATAATTAAGTAAATAAGAGGTCATTAGGGTGGGCCCTAATCCAATAGGACTGGTGTCCTTATAAGAAGACATTTAGACACATATGCGCGCGCACGTACACACACACACACACACACACACATACACACACACACACCATGGAGAGACACAGGGAGAGGAAAGGGTTCGCGACCCACAGGCTGAGAACCGCTGCTCTAAAAGAATCAATGGAAAATATCTTCGGATGAGGATTAACAACAACAAAAAGAATTATTTTGTGCAGCTCCTGATGGGGGTTACAATGGGAGTTGGGGCCAGGGCTCGGGCTGGACATCACCAGTTGTTTTCCTCGGCCTTGCTTTGCCCTCCGCACACGCAGTCCCACTGGAACATGGAGAAGGAGGGAGCCCCTGTCCCCCAGCACTGAGCAGGGACAAGGCAGTGCCTGGGGTTGTAGGCAATGAATGAAAAAAATGAAAAACGTTAATCTCCTCTGCAAGGTACTCTCTGCTGACAACTTTAATTGGGAGGATGTTTTCAAGTGATAAAAATGTTGAGGAGAAATGCCTTTTCCCTGCATTTCATTCAGGCATTCTGGGATCACTGAAATGTACCCAGACACACACGAAACTTCAGTATTTCCTGCAGGATAATTATTCATTTTAAACATTTCTTACACAAGTCACCTATTTTATTTGAAATTAGGAATAGGCTCAGGTTAGCTGATTTTGAGTCATTATCTATAGGAAAATGCACATTATCTATAGGAAAATTCCATAAGAATTCATGTGTTTGCCTTTTTGGAAATAAAGCTTTTATTTATCAAAAATTCACAAGCTATTTTCTAAAGATTTCTTTCAAGGCTGGTTTCCTTCATTTTCTTTAATTTAAAATTCTCAAGAAAGAGTATGAATGTAAAGTTGTCTAACTAATATTACCAAAATTTCATTTCTGCAAAATATAATGGGAACTTCTTTTCTCATTGTAGTAGGTTAGTCAGAAAAAACATCATCTTTGAAGAAGATAGGTAGCTACCAGTTCATCCTCAAAATATAGATAAACGTCTGATCAAAAGTTGTGGTGACCTAAACAAGAATCTATAATAATAAAAGCATAATATGCTAATTAGACCGGACAGCTGAACGACCTTCTGTACGAAGCCAGGCTGTGAGGGCGGAGGCAAGCTGCCGTGGCTGCAAGGGAAAAGGTCCTTTCATGAATTTCGTGCATCGGGCCATTAGTACAGCATAAGAAGCTTAAGTAAACTTACTCTCTTTCCCAGTTCAACATCAGCAAATCTTCCAAATATAGAGTCAATAATAAAATATTTTTTTAATTAAAAAAATAGAAAGTCATAAAATTTTAAAAAGATTATGAGCATTTACTTCACAATAAGTTACATGCCGTTTATATGTATAACATATTTATCTACTTGTAAACACAAGTAGATTATTATCACAGTTTTTGTCTAGAAGTGTGTTTTTTTGACACTGTTATTTTGTGTATTTCATGTTGTCAAAATGCCAACTGACACTCTATGTTTATGAGCATTAAGACCTTTTTCAGCCCTTTGGGGTCATAAAACAGAGGCTGAAATGGGCTTCGGAGTCAGATGGAACTCAGTGCAAATTCCAACTCTAATGCTTACTACCTGTGCCGTGACATATAAATTACTTGATTTGTCTAAGTCTTAGAATTTTCACCAGTAAAGTAGGATTCCTATAAAGGATAAACACAAAAATACATTCTTATTGAGTGCCTAAAGAATAGCCGATGTTTGGTAGGTGGTAGTTCTTACTATAGCAGATAGGTGGGTGCCTCGGGTGTATCTAGAAAAGAAAGGCTCTGCTTCAGGTCCCTGTTTATTTTTTTCATTCGAAAGCCTGCTCTCTATTAGGCTCTTGGGTGGACAACAGAAGGCAGCACTAACAAAGAAGCAGCAGAAATAATGTAACACTGATATAGGGGGATATGAATAGTACTACAGAAATAACAATAGCCAGTGCATACTGGATGCATGTCATATGCTGGCACTTTTAACACAGCCTCTCCATTTCCCTGAAGGTCACAGCATGTCCTATCCTAACAGAGGCAATATACAAATTGACCATCACTCCAACACACAAGATGGCCACCCCCATGTGGACACAAGATGGCTGACAGGGGAGGGCAATTGTGGACAATCAGGCCAGTAGGGGAGGGCAGTTGGGGGGGGGACCCAGGCCTTCAGGGTAGGGAAGTTGGGGGGGACCAGGCCTGCAGGGGAGAGAAGTTGGGGAGAACCAGGCCTGCAGGGAACCAGGCCTGCAGGGGAGGACAGTTAGGGGGGAAGCAACCAGGTCAACAGGAGAGGGCAGTTAGGGGCGACCAGGCTTGCAGGGGAGGACAGTTAGGGGCAACCAGGCCAGCAGGGGAGGGCGGTTAGGGGCAATTGGGCCAGCAGTGGAGCAGTTAGGCGCCAATTAGGCTGGCAGGGGAGTGGGTAGGGGGTGGTCAGGCTGGCAGGCAGAAGTGGTTAGGGGCAATCAGGCAGGCAGGCAGGCGAGAGGTTGGGAGTCAGCAGCCCTGGATTGTGAGAGGGATGTACAACTGTCCACCATGATCAGGTCTAAATGGGCAGTTGGAGATCACTCGGGTGGTCCCAGATTAGAGAGGGTGCAGGCGGGGCTGAGGGACACCCCCCACCCCATGCACCAGGCCTCTAGTGTAGTTATAAAGCCTGAGATTTTAACAAATGCACTATAATGCTTTTCTTGAAGGCAACGAAACCCTAGACCAAGCATCACAGGTGGCTCCCCAGAACCTTCTCAGAGCGATCCTGTAACAGTGGTGAAGGAAGAGGGGAAGCAAACTTACCCTCCCAGGTGAACACACTACTTATGCATTAACTGCTTAGAAATATAATCTTTAGAAGAGTGTGAGAATGTTTTTATCATTTCTAAATCATCCTTTGAAAATAATTGAATGTTCAGTAGTTTCCAGACTGAACTCCCTTCAGAATAATAAAGGCAAACTAACAGGTTAAAAAGACAAAGAAGGAATAATTATATTCTGTTTAACAGACCTATTAGGTATTTCTTTAGAACAAAATAACTCATTAAAAAGGGCACACTGTCCTTTCATACACCAGTGTCCTCGTCTAATCATCTAATCAGTTTAGCGTCCCCCAAAAAAGAATGTAAATACTATTTAATTTACTAGTCAAGTTGGCTTATGGAAATTACTACTTAGCATGATTGCCTTCGGATAAAGAAGAAACAGGTAGGGGGAGGAATCTATTTAATGAGGTTGTTTCACCCTTCTGAAGTGAGACTATCAAAATCACGTCCAGATTAGAAAATTAGACCGCTAAGCAAAGGTTCTAGAAACTATTTCAACTTTCGTAAAAAACAACTCCTTAGGTTCTTTAACTAACATACCCTTGTATGCTTTACAGCACTTGTAACAGTGTTAGCATTTTAAATGTCACTTACCTGTTTCAAATGTCCCTCTATTTTAGACTCCACATCTTCAATGTGTGAAATCATTTTGTTGACACATGGTGATGGAATATTTACTAAAGAACAGCTGTGACGCCGAGATGGGTAACCAAAGTAAATGCCTTCGTTCACCACTAAAGATAAAGCAGGCAGTAGAAGTTACTCATCAGTTATACACAGTGTAGTAACCTTGATGTTGAGAACATGCAAAAATATTCAGCTTTATTAAAACTAATACTCAAAGTTTTAACAACTAGGTAGATAAATATGTCACAATTACAGAATGAACCTTCTAAAATTTTGAAATCTAAAAAAAATCATATATGACTTAAAATGTAAGAAATAAAAATGATTCTAAGAAGCGAGAATACATTTTCAAACTTAAGTTTAAGTGTTTTATAGCATTATGAACTAACTATGGCGGGGGGGGGTGACGTAAAGAAAAAAGGCAGAAAACATTAATTCGTTTCTAAATAAATTCGAAATCAATTTTAAAAATGACTTTGAAATATATTTTAAATTCTCCCTTCAAAGTGATTCTACTTCTTCCAATGCAAGTAATACCCATCCACACATATATTGAAGGACTTCTTCCTTAAATCCAGCACTAGTTTTTCTTGCTGCAAAAAATAAAGCAAAGTCCCCTTCATCCTCATAATAACCTCATTTTCTACCTTCCATTTCTGAAAACTGGAGTCTCTTACAGAGGGTGATTGATGTCCTCACCAGAACATTCAGGTTGTGCTCATCATCAAATCCACTCAGGCTGATGTGCCTCAGTGCCTCTAATCCTGGCATGTCCCGCATCATCTGAAGGCTGCAGAAGCACAGCAAAGCTGTCCATGGAACTCCACCAAAGTGCTTACTTGCAGTCCTTTTGTGTCTAAGGACTCTACTGGGCTGGATTATAGCTGCTCATCTTAAATGATTATAATTACTGATCTTAAACGCAAGACACAAAATAGGGTTGGTGCCTCAATGAGAAGAGTGTGACGACCTCATTTCAATTGACCTTGAGAAACACAGAGGTAATGCTACTGCCCACCGACTGTGCCTTTCGTTTCAATGCCAACCTACAGAGTTGTCCGTAATTTAGGTATCTCCATTGCAACTGCAGTCCTTTAAACGAAGTCTCCTAATCTCCTCCTCCAAAAGTGCAACTTCTGTGAAAATGGCATCGCTGTACCATTTGTAAAATAAAAGTTTTGGCCCTATCCCATAAATCTGAATATATGTGTGTATCTGTGTATATATGAACATATATACATTACCTTGATTTCATAAGTGAGGAAGCTAAGGCTGAGAGAAGTTATAAAACATGTCAAATTCCACACAACTGATAGGTGGGAGAGCTGGTACTTGAACTACATCTCTCTGGCTATGGAATGTAAGCTATACTACAAGGGTTGTTTTCTTATTTTTAAAAATGTGGCAAAGAGAAGCCGTCCTATAAACACATTTCAGGGCATCTCAAAGGCTTCACATTTCACTTGTTTTTGAATGTTCCTTCAAGATACCAGTTTACTTTGGCCATACTGAACACATATACTTGCTAGGACTATTTCCCATGTGTTATATTACATATTTCCTCTTTAGTTCATACACAGAGAAATGTATACTTTCATCTCTGTAATAGTCAAAGGACCAAGTATCTTGATAAGGGCATGTTGCCCTTCCTTCTAGAAATAAGAAGATTTTAATAGACATTTAACAACCAGGCAGTTGTCCTTACACTCAAAGCATTTGCTTTGCTTCATTAAATGTGGGGAAAACAAGGATGGTAATGACTCATTTAACATTTTTCTGCAGGTGCCACTTTCAACCCATTGTGTGATTGCTAATTAATTTCCACAGCACCCCTATGGCTTGGTGTTAACATCGTACATGTAGTACAGTGTGGAGTGTAAGATACTATGAGTTACATTTTGCACTGAAATTCTGGAAGACTTGGCATCATAAGCAGCACAAGACAGAACCAGAATTCTAGAGTTCTTCTCACTGGTTTTATCCTAATGTATGCATGGCATCGGTTAAACCTCTGCTCGGCTTTCCTTTTCCTTTTCCCACCTTAAAGAGACACCTCGATCACTGAACTAGGTGTCCACGTTCATTTTTTTCCCCACTTGACTGATAATTAATTGTGCTTCCTAAGCTAAAACTACTCAAGCTCTAACCCAAGAGTTCTCATTTAATAAGTGAATGGGTTGGTAGGGTGCCATATAAAATATTTTTCACCTAAAATCCCATGATGCAATGAGAATTAATGGTCTTAGTCAAACGTTAATTGACAGAGCTGCTCCTAGTGAAGGCTGTGCACAGGTAGTCAGGGTGGTCAAAGAGCTCAGGTCAAGCAGGACCCTCATCCTCTCTAACCATCTGCCCAACCCCAATGTGTGTGCTCAGCGTCAATGTGTAAGTGGACAGATCCTCCTGTATCTGGGCCAGAGCTGAGGTTTGTGGAAACTCTGCAACAAGAAACTTCCATTTGAGAGAAAATATGGACCGGCTGGTTGCGTTGTAAAAATACTATGTTCATGAACTGTCAACTCTCCTTGCTCAGTGACATGGGTGTGTACATGATTTATTCACCCAGCCATAATAATTACCATGCATCTGGAATTTTAGAATGGTAAAACTCAAACGCTATAAGTGGATATGGGGAATGGGTAGAATGAGACTCACTACAGAGGGCATGAATGAACTTTCTGGAAAAATGGAAGACTCTAGCCCGGCCCGTGTGGCTCAGGGATTGAGCGTCGACTTATAAACCAGGAGGGCAGGGTTCCATTCCTGGTTAGGGCACACGCCCGGGTTGGGTTGCAGGCTCGATCCCCAGTGTGGGGTGTGCAGGAGGCAGCCAGTTAATGATTCTCTCTCATCACTGATGTTTCTATCTCTCTTCCTTTCCCTTCCTCTCTGAAATCAATAAAAATATATTTTAAAAAATGGAAGATTCTATATCCTGTTTAAGATAACAGTAAAATAAATCTGTATATTTGTCAAAAGTCACTGACTTGCAGACTTGAAATGAGTGAACTATATTGTACTTAAAATTTACCTCAATAAACGTTTTATAACAAAAAAAATCACTCACCAGATCTTAGTAACACCATCCAATAACCTCCTATTGTTCTCCATCCCTTTTAACTCTTTATACTCCAGAACAGAGCAGACACACTTCCCTGAAATGCTCTTCTTCAATCGCTTTCTCTCACTTCATTGCTTGTTTCTCCTCGTAGGCATGAGTCTTGGTAAGAAATCACTTTCCCTCTTAGTTATCTCCTCTAAGTGCTTAACCCCCAACTAAACATCTTTAGACTTATCTTTACCCTGCACTCCACATCAAAATGTACACATCCTTCCCTGAGCCTGACCTACACTGAGTGGAGAAAAGGAAAGGTGGGACCTGCAGGATCCTTTGCTGGATGGGAGGATGAAGTTAGAATGTACCCATGGAGTTGCTATACCACAAGTAAGGAAATACAGAAATTCATGACAACAGTAAACGGCAGGCCAAAGCCAGAAAGGCTACAGAGGAAAAGGAACACATTGATATCCTCAGATACAGAGCTGGACAAGATAAGGGATTCATGCAGAGAGCTCAGCCGGAGGGGCCTGGTACATACCCAGCAGAGAGAATGGTACCCGACTCCGAGCAGATAATCAGGAATGATTTGGCAAGTAAAGCTATGATGAGAGACTAAAGATATACCAAGATGAAACTTCTGATGACAGGTCTAACTCCAATCTACTTGGTATTAAACATTTGGACTTTTTCATGGCCAACAAGCCAAAGGGAGTTGTGAAGAGACAAACCCATTTGCAAAGCCGGTATTTCTGAAACTAAACTCATTTTCATGCCACTCAACCTCATTTCCTTTCTTGCATCTCTGTTCCCATTATCAAAGTGTGCAATAGTTAAATCATTGTGGGATCCTCTTTTCCTTCCAGTTCCTATGTTATTATCAAATCTTATTCCTTTATAATGTCTCCTAATTCCCATCTTTCATAGCCATTGATCCTTCATAAATGAAGCCTTATTACCGTAAGCCTGGGCTGTAATGAAAAGGTAATCAGTCCCCTTATGTCCTCCTGTAACCAAATCATTCTGCAAAGCAGACTAATATTTCCAAGCATAGTTATGTAACATCTCTACTTAAACATATCGAGGCCTAGAGACTGAGAAATACAGTTCACGCTCTTGAGCCTGAAACTCAAATGCTTCTTGACTGCGCCTCAGTCATTTCTAGCTTTATTTTAAGGGATTACTTTTACACTTCTCAATCTTCCTGATGCTGTAGTCAAAGTAATATATTTGTTCCATACTTTGTAGGTAAAGAATCAAAATGGAAACTTATTCCATTTTATCCCGTCAAACTGAAGATGTCCAGAGCAGAAATTTACTAATCAAGACTGAAAGTTTCTGATATCAAGTTCTCCACCAGACTGACCTAAGATATAATTATGAACCCCTGTGCATCAAATGTGCACATTCATCATTTCTTTCCACATATCAGCAACACTTTCAGAGATGTTTTATGGATTCTCACTGAATAATTTTTAATTCTGGATTTCACACCTTTAAAACATCAGTCCTCATTCTTCTTCTAAAAGACATATCCTCATTAAACTGGACGTTTCTAGCACCTGCCAGTCATGGCACAAGCAATAAAGAAAATGTTTAATTTAAAAATTCATTCCTTTGTGAAATTATAAACAATTAATATAAATAAGTTTGCAATTAACAATATGTAATTAACAAAATAAATTATAATATTGTATTCTTAATATTGTATATAATTACTTTGCTAACTATTAATTGATACTTAGGGTTTATTGCTCAATAAAATATAATATTGATATCAAAAAATAATGAGTGACTATAAATATAGTTTACATAGATTACAATTTACATTCAGGCCTCACCTTCAGTATTTGTCATTTTATCTTCATGACAAATCTCAACCGCTTCCTTAGGGGCACCAAAGGGAACCAATGCTTGTGATGTGGCATTATCTTTTTGAAAGGAAAGAAAAAGTTCAGAGAGCAGTTCATATATATTTTTAAAATAATTAGATACTATTAAGAAAGTGAAACTACAACTGTCACTATAGGCAAAAACATTTGCACATCATATCTATATATATAAAAGCCTAAGCGACCCTTCGACCAGTAGCTATGATGCTCACTGACCACCAGGGGGCAGACACTCAATGCACAGGCATGGAAACATGGAACAGACTGACAAATCTCAGAGAGGAGGGGGGATGAGGGTGGGTGGGAAGAGATTAATCAAAGATTTTATATGCATACTACAGGCCCGGGTGCACAGATTCGTGCACAGGTGGGGGGGTCTCTGCCTGGCCTACGGGGATTGGGCCAGACCGGCTCTCCAACATCCCCACAAGCGGTCCCAGATTGTGAGAGGGTGCAGGCCAGGCTGAGGGAACCCCACCAGTGCACGAATCCATGCACTGGGCCTCTAGTATTTCATAAAAGCCTACTTTCTGGAACATATAGAGAATTCTTACAACTGAACAGTAAAAAAGACAAATAACTCAATTTTAAAATAGGCAAAGGATGTGCATACACATTTCTCAAAAGATATACAAATGGCTAGTAAGTACATTTAAATATCCCCATCATGGACGGACCTTGAGAATATCATGTTAAGCCAAATAAATCAGACAGAAAAAGTTCAGAACTCTTTGATTTATTCCACATGTGGGATATAAAACTGAAAGTAACAAGTGAACAAACAAGAAAAACAAGAGCTCACAGGCACAGACAACGGTATGGGACGGGAAGGGTTGTGGAGGGAAAAGTAGTCAAATATGTGTCGATGGAAGATGATTTGACTTAGGGTTATGGATGCACAATGCAATATAAAGGTCATGTATCAGAAACATATGTACACTTGAAATCTATATAATTCTGTTAAGCCATGTCTGCCCAACAAATTTAACAAGAAAAATAAAAGATTCTCATCATCATTAGTAATTAGGGAAATGCAAATCAAAACCACAATGAGATGCCACCTCCCACCCACTAAGATGCCTATAATATTATTTTCAAAAGGCGAAAATAGAATTTAACAAGTGTGGCCAAGGATGTGGAAAAACTGGAATCCTCAGATATTGCTATTTGGAATGTAAACTATTGCAGATGCTTTGAGAAAAATTTGGCAACTACAAAGTTAAACATCAAGTTACGAAACGACCCAGCAATTCCCGTCCTGAGTGTATACCTAGCAGAAATGCAAACAGATGTCCACACAAGAAGCTGTACTCGGGTTTTCATAACGTTATGCCTAACAGCCCTAAAATGGAAATGACCCAAACATCCACCTGTCCATGAATGTGTACACAACACGTAGACTATTTGTGCAAAGGAATAGTATTCATCCACGTAAAGGCACCTTGACAAAATTCTAGTTTAAAGGAGGACAGGCACACACAGCCAAGGGTCTTTGCGAATTCGTTTATATGAAATGTCCCAACTGGTGCCCCATCCTGCCTCGCACACCGGCCGCCAGGGCACTTCCGTTGCCTCTGAAATGTTGAAATAAATACGGAGAGAAGCGGCATCGGTGTCTATACTGAGCGATCACACAGAGAGGGCCTCAGACACCCGCCAGGTGGGCATCCCTGTCGGGGCAGTGTCGCGGGTGCCAGCCGAGGGCAAGACTTTGTGGCTGTGGCTGCGGTGGGCCAAGTGGGCTGCTGCCCTTCTGCCCCCTTGCCCCCTGCTCCGCTGCCCTCCTGGTCCGCTGCCCTCCTGCCCCGCTGCCCTCCTGCCCTGCTCCCCTGCTGCCCTCCTGCCCTCCTGCCCCTTCAGACCTGCGGGCCCCCAGTCCCCGCTGCGGCCTGTGCTGCGGGC